CGGGCCCGCGCCACGTGCGTGTCCCCGCCCCACGTGCGTGTCCGGGCCCGGGGCGGGGGGCGGCGCAGACCGCGGCACTGCCCTTCCCGGCGGCTGCGAGTCCCACGAGGTCCTCCCCCCCACACCCAGTTTGTGATTTCCAGGGCGCGGGGCAGGGGCGGCTGCCCGCCGCCCGGAGCTGGTACTGAGCCCCTGGGGTAGTTGTACTGCCCAGGCCTGGGCTCCCCAGGCTCCTGCGGCTCCCTCAGTCCCTGCCCTGCGGGCAGACGATTGGGCTCCCCTGGCTCTGGCGCCTGCTGACAAGAACCGGGCCCTCGGTTCCCCTCCTGCTGCTTAGGTCCGGGCGCGTAGGTGCTGGAACGGGCTGGTGCAGATTCATTCTGGTAACTGCCTCGGGTGGTCAATACCAGCAGTGTTTGGAGAGGCCCAAGGGGTCAAACCCACCTGGGGAGGGGTGCAGGAGCCACCAGCGGGTGGGAGGTGTAGTGGGGCTCCAGGTGTGAGCTCAGGGGCCAAGGGTGCCTGGTGCTGCCCAGCCCCAGAACTAGACCTAAGGTTCCTGGGTACCGCATCTGGTCTGACACCCCCGTCCTCTCTCGAGAAGCCGGCAGCCGCAAAGGGCTCGGGGAGGGCTGAGAGGGCCTGAACCCATGGGGCTCAGAGGAGGCATAGGGGGGATGTGCTACCAGCCAGGCTCGTGCTAGCTGCTCTCCAGCCCACCCTGGGCTCCGCGATGTAAGTGCCTCACATCTGCCCAGGGAGCTGCTGGACCTTCTTCTCGCTGGGTTGGGGCCTGTGCAGGGAGCAGAACAGCCCTGCCCTGCTGCAGGATGTTATGCCACTGATTTTTGGCCAGAGCCCTCATGGGCGGCGAGACAGCAGCAGCCCAGGGGGAGCTCTGGGCTCGGCACAGGGCACCTGGGTTCTGTCCCTAACTCAGTCACAGGCTGGCTGGGGGACCCCTTCCTCCACTGGGACCAGGAACGCAGGGCAGCCCCTCTGGTAGTGTGTCTGCAGTGGCCACGTGATGGGGCCATGCCCCACGGTAGATGAGTCACCCAGGTGACCTCTGCAAGCTGTGGATGGTTGGGCTGATCCCAGCCCCATGCGCAGGTGGGTGTAGGTTCCCAAGGAGTTTTCCTGCCCCTGAACTAGCCAACACAGGAAGCGGGGCCACCTGTGACCCCCGTGCCTGGGCCCCTGTCCCACACACCTGGGCAGGAAGCCCCGATGCTGGGCCCTGCCCTCACACATGAAGCTGTGTGCTGAGCAGAGCATGGCACACATGTCCGTGAGCACCTCCTGTGGGTGGGGCCTGCTGATGGCTCTCAGCCCCCACACTCAGCACCCTGCCGGACCAATTTAATCTCCTTAAAAGGGTTGTCATCTTGCCACTTGCCCAGAAGGTGGAATAAATCGTGGTGCTGGCACAGGGCCAGGTGTGCCAGCCCAATCACGCAAATGTCTCCACCAGTCTCAAGGACACAGTGCCCCCTCCCAGGCCCCCCTCCCCCACACTGCTATCAGCTCATTCGCCCCCTGGGAGGCACAGCCCTGGGGAGAGCAGCTGGCCTCAGGTGCCCAGGTCCCACCCTTGGAGCTGGCTGGAGCTGGGGCCAGGCCCGTGGGGTCAGAGGGAGGTGCCTGCACTCTTTGTGGGCAACGGGAAGACCGTGCCTGGCGGTAGAGGTGAGCATGCAGCTTGTGGGGTTGCTGTAGTGCACCAACCAGCTGTGGTGCATGCCACCAGCCTGGATGCGCTCCCTGCCCCACTGCATGGAGCAAGCGTGGGCTCGTGACAGCGTATTGTGCACATGCCAGCTCCTTCCCTGCAGCAGCCCACTGTGACGGGCATCTGCTCCTTCACCCAGCCTGGTGGTAGCTTCTTGACCATGGGTTTGCCTGTTTTGTCCACGTGTGCCTGTGTGGGGCTTGCAGGGCCCTCTGCAGGCCCAGGTGAGGCACAGGGAGTGGGGGGCATCAGGGCTGTCTGCAACGTGGTGCCCTAGATGTGAGGCCACCAGCACAGTCATCCCTAGCGCCTGCACCTGAGCCCCCACTGCAACCAGGAGTGCCCTGCCCTGAGGAACACTCCTGCTGCCAGGCAAAGCTGTTCAGCTTTGGCCTCGGGCAGGTCTGGCAGTAGCCTGTCTGTGTGGGTCTCATAGTTTCATAGTTTCTAGGGTCAGAAGGGACCTGAGAAGATCATCTAGTCCGACCCCCTGCCATGGCAGGAAAGAGTACTGTGGTCAAACGACCCCAGCAAGGTGTTCATCCAGCCTCCTCTTCAACACCCCCAGGGTAGGAGCCAGCACCACTTCTCTTGGAAGTTGGTTCCAGATCCTAGCCACCCTGACCATGAAGTAGCACCTCCTGATATCTAGCCTAAATCTACCCTCTGCCAGCTTGTGACCGTTATTCCTGGTCACTCCTGGCAGTGCTCGGGGAACAGGGACTTCCCTAATGCCTGCTGGTCCCCTCTGACTAGTTTGTAACAGGCCACTAGATCCCCCCTCAGCCTTCTCTTGTGGAGGCTGAACAGGTACAGATCCTGTAGCCTCTCCTCGTAGGGCCTGCCCTGCTGCCCCCTGATCATGCGAGTGGCCTCCTCTGGACCCTCTCCATGTTGTCCACATCACAGGTGCAGTGGTTATGCAGGGCCCGAGCAGAGCTGCAGGCACTCGCTGTTGCAGTTGTGTCCTAATTCCCGTGGCCTAGGGCATACAGTGCCTCTCACCTGGCCTCAGGTTGTGGAGCTCCTTGTGCCTGCCCTGTTCACCAGGCTACCTTGCCCTCCTGGGGCCCATCCCCCAGCACCTGGGCTGCTGCTGCCAGCCATCTCTTGGGCTAGGCCATGGGACGATGTCACTGCGTCTCTGGGGCTCAGGATCCTGGGTGTGACTGGAGGGGGCTTGGGCATTGCATAGCCCCACTGTTGCCTAGAGACAGACCACGATGCTCCTGACCCAGTGCAGGCCCTTGCCCACACAACTTGGACCTGGCCCTGGCAAGGAGCCTGCAAAGCCCTGGGCAGCTGGTCTCGTTGACCTGTGGCTCTGACGTGAGGGAGACCTGGCCCTCTGCATGCTGGGTGCCAGCAGCGCAGAGGAGCCCCTGCACCTGTCCCTGATCATGGGGGGCGGCTCTGGCAGCCACAGGAGCAGGTTCTGCAAGACACAGCTGCACTGCAGAAATTCTCCTGCCTCTGCAGAGCGTCTAGCTCTTGGAAGCAGACGCCTGTGCCTGGGACCATGGCTTTGTGCTGTGGACTGTGCAGGCTTCTGTTGTGGGGGAGGCAGGCAGTGGGGCCTCCCTGCCAGGGGCTGTCCCTTCTGCCCCAGGCTGCCAGGCTGGCCTGGGGCAGGTCTGATGTGCAGGTGGCTGGAGGCTCCATCTCTTCCCTTTGTGGACAGCCCTGGCTGTATGGGAGCTTCCTACCCCATGGGCTGCTTCTGCCATGGGCACGCAGAGGGTGTGGGTACCATGTAGTCCTTGGACCCCAGGCCTGGCTTACGGTGCAGCACCTTCTCCCTTGCGGTTTCCCGGGACCCTGGTGAAGGCACGGTAGAGCTGCTGGCTCTCCCTTGTCCTGCCTGAGACCCTGGGCTGTGGCACTTGTTCCATGGCCACCCAGGTCCTGTCCTAGCCAATGTGGGCACAGAGCGCTGCCAGCCTTGTGAGCTTGCAGAACCAGCTGCACCCAGAGCAGGGCTGTCCAAGACCCCTTGCTGTCACCATATGCGGCTGGCCCTGTCTTACCTGCTGGGCGCTGTGGGGCTGGTGCCCAGAGAGATGCCTGGATATGGGGGCTTGGGGGGAGCTAGTAGGTGGTAGCTAACCCAGGGGCTACAGCAGAGACCAGCAGAGCTGTGCCAGGCAATCACGGTGGGCGCTGACCACGTGCCAGCACATTCATAGATTTCATAGACATTAGGGCTAGAAGGGACCTCGGAAGATCATCGAGTCCAGCCCCCTGCCCAAAGGGCAGGAAGTCAGCTGAGGTCATAGGATCCCATAAGCTGCGGTCATAGGATCCCAAAATTGCCAGTGTCCTCTGGTGACCTGGTTCAGCCTGCGCCCAGGGCAGGCATCTCAGTCCCTGCGTCCTGCAGCAGCAGGGCCGGCAGGCCAGAGAGGAGGTGCAGGGGTGCTTCAATGTGTGTCTCGGGTGGGGAGTGGAGCAGCTGGGGAAGGCGGTGTGGGGAGCAGCCCATGGCTGTAGCCATGACCTTGTGGCTATGCCAGTGCGAGCAGCCGTGGCGTTCCTGGTGAGGGCAATCTGCAAATGGACAGTGGATGATGATCTAATCGCGCCTGCATGCACCACAGACACCGTGGCCTACTTAAACTTGGGCTGTTTCCAGGCCCGAGGCCAGAATGAGAAGCAGCCGCGGCTCCGCCAGGCGCTGCCCTGAGCCAAGTGGGCCCCACGCACCTGGGCAGGGCCCCCACACTCCCCAGGAAGCTGCAGAGTCTGTCCTGCCCCTGCCTGCTCTACCTGGGATATCTACCCTTGGACTCAGCACCCAGGGAAGCCTTGGCGATCTTCATGCCCTGGCTGTGACCTGGGCACAGCCAGCAGGGCAGCAGAGGCATCCCTCCCGGTCCCGCCAGCCGCCTGCCGGGCACTGCAGCACAGGGAGTAGAGCCCCTGCAGCCCCAGGCTGCCTCACATCCCTCGTTCACAGGCCGCAGCTTGGCCTGTTGCTCTTGGCAGCCGCTACGCTGGCTACTGTTCTGCCCCAAGCTGGGGCTGCCCCATGAAGCAGCTTGTGGCCATAGATGCCATGCTGAGATGGGTTGGCTCTGTGCGTGGGGGCTGGGCCCACAGTTCTCCTGCCCCATGGGTGTAGCCCCCGACCTTCCCACTGCCACTGAGCCCATGCTCCAGCCCCCCGGCCCTGTGTCCATCGCACAGGGAAATCAATCAGGGCTAATGGCCGACTCGCCTGGGCAATCCCTGTGCAGGGGGCGGGGGGTTGGCATTGGCCCAGGTGTGAGCGAGTGGTGAAGTCACCGCGGCGCGGGACATCCATCTCCACACAGGGGACGCAGGCGCCTCCTGGCACTGGCCCCGTATGTCCGTCACGCCTGGCAGGCAGCCCCATCTGCCTGCCTGCCCTTGCCATGAATGAGGCGGGCACGGCTGCAGCGTTCTCAATGAGTGTGGGATGCAGCCTGCTCACGGCCTCAGGAGCACTGCCATGGCCTGTGACAGCTTGTGGCTGGGTGCCCCCACAGGCTTGCATGTCCCCCTACCCCATGGGTGGTCGTGCTGGGGAAGCCTCCTGCCTTCCCTGGCTAGTGCTGGCCAGGGCCCTGGCAGCTTCTCTGGTAAGCAGCCCCTCCCCCCCAATCCGTTCCCCCTTCTCCACTCCCTGCAGCTGCCACCTCTGTCCTGCATGGGAGGCTGGCGTGGGCCCTGCCATGCCTGCGCCCTTTGCTCTGGCTCCAGTGTCCAGCTCCCCGGAGCCTCATTCCCTGCTCCCCATAGGATGAGGCTCTGGGGAGTGCCTTGGGCCTGCATTGCTCCCTCTGAAGCTGGGGGTGGGCATTAGCCCAGCCTGGTGCCCTGTTGGGCCCCTGCAGCCCAGACACCTGGGTTCCATGGCTGGCTCCCCCACATTGACTTGTGGCTGTTCCAGCTCCTGTGGCTCATTTCCCCTCTCCCACCCTGGGCACAGAGCTGCTCCTCCTGTGACAAAGCTGGCGGGGGGGTCTACAGGTGTCCCCTCCCAGTTGGTGCCCAGGGCTAGTGCCCTGCTCACCCTGACCTTGCCATTGCTTACTGTCCCCAGAGACCTGGGGGAGCAGCTAAGGACTTCCCACCTGCTTTCCTGGGGGTCCCTGGGCTCATAGGCCAGCTTCTTTAGTGGCTTCTTTTCTATTGTGGCCACAGTCAACAGACAAGTGGTGACGTCACTCCTGCCAACAGGTGCCGACTCCTGTCAGGGCATGGGGCTAGGTATCACCAGCTCTGGAAAAGGCAGTCAGTGCAGGCACCAGCAGCAGCAGTGACCTCTCTGAGACGGGGTCATGTTCCTAAAGCCAAACGACAACCGGCCTGGACTGCGCCAGTGCCAGCTCAGCCCGTACGAGCACCCGCGCCAGTGTGTGACGTCAGCAGCTGCTGGCACAGGAATGCTGCATTGGCGGCTGCTTGCACCTGGCTGGGCCTAGTCCTGTGGCTCCTGGCTGGCTTGGTGAGGGCCCAACCAGGCTCCAGTGGGCCCAGCTCCCTAAATCCCTTCGGGCCTGGTGAGGACCCACTGGGCCTGACTCCAGTTTAGGCCCCTCCTGGGCTCAGCTTGGCAAGGGTGCAGCCAGGCCTCCCTGGGCCCAGCCCCCTGGTACCCCTCCAGCTTGGTGAGGCACCTTGCAGGGCTGCTGGAGCAGTGTGATACTTCCGAGGGCACAGACCCCTGAGCAGATCAGCCTGCTGGCACCCAGCCCAGCCTCTTCTGCTGGGCTCAGGAAAAGCTCTGCTATCCCCTGTGCAACCCATGGCAACTGAATGGTGACAAAGGACTCCTGACTGCTGGGTCCTGGGCAAGACTGATTCAGGCTCTGCTGCAGCACTGGATGGGTGTCTAAGGGGCTAGACAGTCCCTGGGCATGGAAGTTGTCCACTGCTCTCGCAAGTGGCCAGGTGCTGGCAGGGCTGACCCAGCTGCAGGTCTGGCCTGGGTACCTGCCTGTGGGCCCCACCAGCTGGTCTCCAAGGTGCTAAGTCACGCTGTGCCAGTGGCACTGGGTTCACCTGCCTTTGGTGTCTGGTGCTGCCATGGTCTGGCCCAGCCTGGCAGTTCCCTGGAGGGGCAAGTGGGCACAGCCCTGTCTCATCACTGTGTCCATGCTCTGCCCAGGGGCCCTGATGGGCATTGGAGATGTGGTCTCTCAGCAGCTGGTAGAGCAGAAAGGCCTGAGGGGGCACAGTGGCCGCAGGACCCTGAGGATGATGACAATCGGCTTCTGCTTTGTGGTGAGTGCCCAACCCAGCCTCACCTGGGCCTCACAGTGCCACCCTGTGCAGAGCTGTGGCCAAAGACCCCACCAGGGCTTTGGGACCAGAGCCTCTGGCATGGGCTCTGCCAGGCTTGAGCAGGTGAGGGGGACAAGTGAAGTCTCTAGGGCTAGGGAGGGGTCCATGCCTCTTGCTGTCCACTGGCATGGGGCAGTGACATATCTCCTGCAGCCGGCCCCTGTGCCAGGCACTGACCAGAGAGAGGCCTATGCAAGAAGCTTGCTCCCTGCTGTGCCACTCAGACACCTGGCAGCCTTGTTCCTTGGGGCTGGAACAGCTCCCAGCTTTATTCTGGGAGCCTGGGCCAGCCAGCCACAGCCATGGGCAGTGCTAGCCGCTGTGGGTGCCCCGGTCCCCACCCCACTCCCTGTTCCTGCCAGGCAGCAGCTCCAGTGCTGAGTTTGGCTCTTTCTGGCTCCCAGCTGCTCCCACTTCACCCTGCTGCCCTGGGGCTCTGCACCGGGAGCTGCCTGCCTGCCCCGTCTTGCTGTGGCGCTCCCCAGCCCCCTGCCTTTGCAGTAGTGAGTGGCTGGGAGCAGTGCTAGCCAGGCAGCCTCTGCCCCTTCCTGCTCCCAAGACCCCTATCCCCAGGACAGTGCCCCCACTGCGGACAGGCGTATGGGGCAGGCAGCACCTGTGGGATCCAGCTGGGTGGCTGGGGCAGGGCCACATTGCCAGGGCACAGAGCACGCTGGAGCCACCAGCCACAACTAGAGGAGCCAGGGACCAGGGTACCCAGTACACAGCTTAAAAGCTACATCCCTTCAGCAGGGCCCTGCCATGGGGCAGGACAGGAACCAGCTGGAGGGAGTGTGTGGGGGGTACCCTCTGGCTGCCCCTAGGGACCATCCTGCTGCAGAGGCTGCTTGCCCTGGCTGTGCCCATGGCAGGGCCTGGCCCTCCATCCACAGGCCCTGGCTGTAGCACCAGGAGCCATAAGTGCAGACAGGAGCACATGGGGCAAGCTGGTGCCCTCCCCTGCCCCGTGGCAGTGGTGCAAGCACTGGTGGAGCCCACTGACCCCCAGCTCCCCACAGGGCCCTGTGCTGGGAGGCTGGTACAGGCTGTTGGATCGGCTTGTCCTTGGCAGCACAAAGACAGTGGCTGTGAAGAAGATGGTGCTGGACCAGGTGGGTGCTGCCTTCATGGGGAGGGGCAGGGCTGGTATGCATGGGGCAGGGGTGGGCATTGCTGTGACCTGTGTATGCAGGTGCCAGGTGTCCTCTGGGCTTGGGCAGGGCCCAGCCTCAGTCCCCTGCTGTGAGCCTCACAGCCCCCCTGGCACTGGGGGCATCAGTTCCCTGTGGTTCAAATACTCAGCACAGCAGGTCTTGCAGTCACTTCTGGTCTGGCCAAGTCCTTGGGGCTGTGCTGAGGGCAGAGGACTGGACCCAGCCCTTTTCCATTCAGCCCCACAGGTGCTGTGGCTGGGTGGCCGCAATGCCCTGCCCATCCCTGTCCTCTGTAGGGGCAGCCCAAGTGCTGTGGGGCCATTTCCTGCCCTTGGCAATGCACGTCCTATCCCCACAGAGTGCTGGGAAGACCCCAGTGGGAGTAAGGGGGAGTGTCAGCAGAGGCAGCCCTTGGCCCCACAGCAGCAGGGGCAGGTGCTGGGCACTGGTCCCATGGGTGAGGGTGCATCAGGCACTGTTGTTGACTGCATCCCAAAGTCATTTCCATGACGGCTCAGGCCTCCAGGTCTCCCAAAACCGATGCAAGCAACTCTGCTAGGGCTAATGAGCCACGTGCTTAGCCTGAGGCAGCCTGGACCCACCCCCTCACTCCCACCCCGCCACCCCAGTGCTCCACGGATCCCCATTACCCATCTGTAGGGGGTGGGGGCCAGGGCACAGGGATGCTCTGGGCCAGCCCTGCCCTGTGGCACTCACCCACTTCCCCCACAGGTTGGCTTCGCCCCTATCTTCCTCGGCAGCTTCCTTGCCATCGCTGGCGCGGTCAACAGTCTGTCTGCAAAAGAGAACTGGGAAAAGATCCAGCGGGTAAGTCCCTGGGGCTGTGCTGGGGGCAGAAGGCTGGGGCCAGCGCCTTTGCATTCAGCCCCACAGGTGCTGAGGCTGGGTGGCCACAGTGCCCTGTCCATCCGTCCTCTATAGAAGCAGCCTGACCGCTGCAAGGCCATTCCCTGACCTTGGCAACGCGGACCGGGAGGCCCCAGTGGAGGTAATGGGGAGGCTCAGCAGGGGCAGGTGCTGGGCACAGGTCCCATGGGTGAGGGTGCGCCAGGCACTGCTGTTGGCTGCCTCTCCCAAAACCATTACCCTGATGGCTCAGGCCTCCAGGTCTCCCAAAACCAACGCAAGCGGCTGAGTCAGTGAGTCTGGGCGTGATTCACGGCGGGAACAGGTGACCCTGGTGTGAGTCACAGGACCGACTGTCTGTCCCTCCTGGCATGGCGGGAGAGCGGGCCTCCCTGCCTGCACCCTACAGCCCAGCACCCCCAGTGGAGTGGACTGCCCCCAACCTGCCCTGCCAGGACAGCATCCCCTTTGGCTGCTGCAGCAGGCAGGCAATGGGTATCAGCCCCCTGTCTGGCTGCGGGCTAGTGAGCACGGCTACCCAGGGCACTTGTCCACTGAGAGCTGTGGGCAGAGTCCCCATGTCCCCAGGGGGCCCTGCCACTCCTACAGGCACTTGCTGGCAGTGTGGGGGAGCAGAGGTCTTGCCTGCTGCACAGAGCAGCCAGACCTGCGGGCAGATGGGCTGCCTCGCATCAGGGTTGCAGGGTTAGGGCGGTCCATCTTTACCCCCTGCCCTGGGGCATGATCCTCTGGGGCTGGGCTGTGCTGGGCTGGACAGGGGACTTCAGGGCAGAGCATCCCCCGCACCCAGGTCTAATCACGGCCCCCAGGTGCCAGGTACTTGGGAATGAACCCTTCTTGCCCATGGCTCTTCCATCCCCATCCAGAACTCAGACCTAGGTACCGAGAGCTGGGGGCTTGGCCCACACAGCACAGGGGGTCGGGGGCACTTTGCTTGCCACAAGCTGAGTGGCTGCTGCAGCCACATCCTAAGCAACCATTCATCAGGGACTATAGCAGGAACCTGCATCCCCCACATGACCTCCGCAGGTCCCTGGCCTTGGGCCCAAGAGGGGTGGGGCTCGCCCAAGGGGCCACGAGCACTGACCAGGCCTTCTCTGCCTGCAGGACTATGCTGATGCCCTTGTCACCAACTACTATGTAAGTGCCTGAGGGAGGGGAGGGGGGCTGCGCCCAGGTGATCATGGAACAAGCGCTTAGACCTGCACAGCAGGAGACTGAAAGCTCTGCCCCCACTGGTGCATACTGGTTTCCAGTGGGCTGGCAGTGCACCCCCTGCACTATCACATGCAAGGCCCAGCCCACCTTGGGGCTCATGCTTAGGCATGAGGTCTCCCAGCAGAAGCCTGCAGTGGGCTTTCCCCAAATCTGGTGGGAGGCCCAAAGAGGTAGGGTAGGAGCCAGTGCTGGGGTGGGGGAAATGGGCAGGAGGGGAAGGGTACATGGCCGCAGCACTGCCCCAGGGCCCTGGGGTAGGGCAAAGGCCTCCGTGCCCCTCAACCGCTATGCCTCTCCCCCAGATCTGGCCGGCAGTGCAGGTTGCCAACTTCTACTTCATCCCCCTGAACTACAGGTATGAGCAGGTCACACTGCACCCTCCCACTGCTAGCCCAGCACCCTCCTAGCCCAGGTGCCTTCCTCTTCCTGCACCCCCTGGCCCTGTCCAGGCCTCCAGGCAGAACAACCCCACGCATCCTGCTCCCCTACCCAGCCCAAACACCCCAGCATGCCTTGTACCCCATGCAAGTCCCCCCACACCTGCCCCTCCTTCCACTGGCCCAACACTTCCCAGCTGCCTCTGTGCCCCTGGGCTCCGGCACCATGACCCTTGGGCCATTGCTCCATGGACCCC